GAAATTTAGTTCAGACTGCATAAAAACCAAAAAAAAAAAAAAGATATCTTATAAAATGCTTACATATAACCTAAGGTAAATAATCTCCAAAGGAGCGGGTTTCTTTAATTCACAGTGACCTAAATAATTCTTGTTAAAAATAGAGGAATGTTCATGTTGTTTTGTTATGGTTTTAAAGCATATAATGTTTGACAAGGGAGGGCATGGCTATTGACTTTAACATATCTATAATCAGAAAGTCAGTGAAAAACCCAATGTTGCAATTGAAAATGCTGCCATTAGAGACATTTCGCAATACAATTTTATACGTTTTTCTTACTGTTACACTAAACGAATTTTTAAGTAATAAAATGACATGTCTGTGCATTTTATTAGATAAAATCTGACATCGACCTTGTCACACAATTTATACCAGCTAGGCATATTCTGGAACATAGATGTAAGGTTAAACTCGGAGATCTTAAGTTTCGTTAAAAAGACAATAATTTACAAAGCACAAACTTTCATGTCATAGAAATATTTTTGGGCTATTTTAAAGTATGCATTTTTCCCTTTTCTAAACTCATCACTATATTTTCCTGGTAGAAAGCGGAGGAAAGGTAATGTGGACATCACAATATTGACGTATGGATTTAATAAGAAATTGCTTGTTTGAACATATTCCCAGAACAGGTTGCTGTCTGGATCAGAATCAGGGATCGTCTCTCCTCGTAACTGTACAAAGAATGTAAAATCAGCATTAAATAAACACATTTATTGTAAACTTATTAATAAGATATTGAGAAATATTGATGAAATGAAATGCGTTTTTTTTTTCATTTTTCGTATTTTCAGTTTACAAATTTCTTTACCACTGAAGTAAAACATATTTTCCACGTTTTCACTGGTGTCTTGTCGGACAACTTCTAAATTCAAACAATACACACATTTTAAGGGAAATACTTTCATGCAATTGTAATGTCAAAAAAGAGAAAAATGTATATAGTAAACAGACAATTCATTTTTGTTCTAAAAATACAAGATTTACATGTACTTTCATCTTGTACCGCAACTCATGAAATATTTATTTTCATACCACTTGATGAAAATAGATCTTGTAAATTTATAGAAAAAAAACTTATTAATGAATATCCTCCATGTAATAAAATTCGATTTTTAAAAGAAATTTATATCAAGTGAAAAAAAGCATAAAGTTTCATTAAGATAATGATCAATTCGAAGGTTGTTCGATATGTAATGTGTATTATACGAATGTTGATATGCCTGAATAGAACTATACAATACTTTAACAATGGTATAAACATGAGCCTTAAGAAAAATAAAGTACACAGTTTTAATCTTATCGCAATTTTAATACAGCCAGTCGTTGAGGAAACAGTTTGAGAATATTGAAGGTATAAAACTCGGTAATTCGATAAAACAGATTTTTACTGCACCGAGGGAAGTTTATTGGTAAGATATCTTATTACATCAGAGTCCATCAGATATGTAGAGAAATTTTGCCGACATATGGCTTTAAAAGGCTAGGACAATGTTTCAAAAGTCAGGGAAACGATCGAATGCGATATTGCCAAAGCTGTTGGCTATCACGGGTGCGTTGGTATGCAAGTAATTCAGGTTTTTGGACCTCACTGGAGTTCCATTAAGTACAAGAACAATTTGTGACCTTTAAGAAAATGTTGCATGACATACTACAAATATTTTCATTAAAAAAGAAAACAATGATTTTTTAGAATTTATTTTCCTTGGGAATAAGTACAAATTTGATATCTAATCCTGCTAACTTTGCTAACCTCGCCCCCCTCAAAAGCAAATTTATAAATGTTCAAATACATACTACTAGAGACATAACATTAGACAACGAACGTTGAAACACCGAAATACACTCGAACTCTGTTCCCGATCTTTTCTCAATTCTTTCGATAAGATTAGACATTTCCGTCATGACGTTATTTTCCAGCTCTTGAAGTCCGCTTCCATAGGTATGTAAGGTATGTATAGGTATAGGTATGTAAAGCTTGCATGTAACTTTTCTTGGCTATACGATGAAAAAGTCCAGATCCATCTGAAACAAAGGCTAACGATTGATTTTGGCACCGGAAGTGCTCGCCAAAAAAACGTCTCAGCCCGATCTCCGAAATGATGTTTATACTTTTCACTGCCAAACGCTTTCCGTATATTTTCTTCCGTGTTTAAAACAACAACGTTTTCCGAAAGCATTTTAAAACGAAATATGTCACCGAATTTTTCGGCCCATTCCGAAAATTTAAAATGAATAGTTTCATTGTCTATTTCAAAGATACATCCAAGCACTGGTAAATCCTTTGGGCCTGCAATTGTTTTTCCTTTAGGCCTTTTTCTTTTTATAAAAAGGAGCAACACACCAAGGGCTAAGATGATATATATAATACCTATTAACGTTCCCATTGCATAAAGAATGTCCAATTCAATAAATCTCACGTATTTTATCTTTCAGAAAGTGTTTCACGTGAGTGGATTCATTCATATTTATGCACATATTTACTTCAATTACAACATGCATGCGATGATTTAAATATGCATGTCACAGTTTTAAGACTTATTAAATAACACCGTACGCAGGAATGTGCAAATAACGCAGGAATTGTGCAAAATTTACACAGAATTGTGCAATTAAGTGGCTAAAACGAGCACCGCGATTAGTAAATGATCCAAATTAAAAATGACAATATTTTTTATTGTACACCAAATTGGAATAAATGAGTGAGCGCATACGGTTGCTGAGACATTATACTTTAAACTTCATCAAAAATATTTCCGTGAACATGTTTATTTTTTTCAAAATCATTCATGAAAATGACGACCTGACTATAAAGCGTATTGATGGCAATTTATATTTTCGTTGATATCTTTAAATACAATAACGTATGTATTACTTTATGATTTTTTTATATCCCAGTGTACCCGATACATTTTCCAATCTACTCGTGTCATATTACACTTAATTTAGCACAGAAAACGTAATTGAGACCATTTTTTACGAGGTTATGCCGAATTCGTGAATGAAGCACCGAAGCAACTGCGGTTATATCACTAAAAGTAGCTAAATCATATTTTACCAGCTTTCTTCATATTGTTTACACGACACTTCTAGTCTAACAAATGTCTTAGGTATACAAAATATGAAAAAAATATAGTTTAAAATGTGTTATCTATTTGACGAAACAAAAAAGTCACCTTCATAACGGTAATCATGTTGTCTTTCTCACGAATGATCTAAAAAAGTAAACATATTCCAGATAAAAAAAATGTAATGCTGGTTAAAGTATAATGTCGTAGGAGCGTATGCGCTAATTAATTGCTTAACATTTGAATTAGAGTAGCATATATTTTTGTTCGTTTACTTAATGTGTTATTCGTAGCTAATAGCGTTGCATAGTTTCGGTGTTACTTTTACATTAATTGCACATTCCTGCGTTACTTGATATGCACGGTGTTTACTGGGTGTAATGGAAAAATGAAATGATCCGAAAAGTTAAAATCGTATTATCAAATGTTGCGAGTAAATTCAAGGTATAAAGTGCCCTTTCCCGAAGAAACTGCTTTAGTATGTTGACTCTGCTATGGTGGCTGCTTTGGAACGTTTTTGTTTGTCATGTTGGCGCTAGCGACAACACTTATCTTCCGGTCTCTATCAGAGCATACCAAACGGCGCTTTGTAGTGCTGCGCGTTGTCACAATGTCGCCCTGAACCGAGCGACAATGTGGCATCGCGACAACAGCGCCGTTTGACGCGCATCGTTAGCGACAGGACGACAAGACGAAAGTCCAACAACGCGCCGTTGGCGCTTTGTCGTGTTGTCACTAGCGACAGACGAAAAGACAATAACGATTTAGGTTGCGTTTGCAACGCGCATTGTACAGTGTGCACTAACGTTTCGTAAGTTTTGCTTATCTTTTTACGTACTAAATTAAAAAAGACGCAAAGAGTTACGTTCAAACTGGAGTAACGATAACGTAAGTACGTAAGTAAACTGCTCCTCTGAAACAGCACACATATACAGTAAATAAATATCAACGATTTAGGATAAATAAGGAAAACCAGCAAAAGAATATGTAAACACACAAAATGCCTTTATTACATAATGCAGCCTTTTCTTAGACAATTCGTCGTAATTCTGGTGATTACGTATAGGATATCGACCGAGTACGAAGTCTTTCTGTTAAGGAAAGACCTTGTGTCGAATTTCATGTGACACCGAGAGCTCGATGTGTTTTATGGAATTCGTGACCAGGTCTTTCCTAAACAGAAAGATCGATGTACGAGGCCGATATCCAACTTACACACCGTAACACTATATATATGCTTGAGCAATGGCTGATCCGCATCACTTGATGTTATGCACAAATATAATTTTTAACGCAACGCATATACAGGTAAGCTTTTATCAACGTTCTGCTTAAATAAAATATATAGTTTGCATTTAATGTTGCTTTTCCCTTTGAAATAATAATAAAAAAGCTAAATGTGCAATTTGTCAATAACAGTGAATAGATCTGTTAAAGAATGAAAATTATGTTGATAGTATTTCGTATCAGACAATGCAGATTCTAGGACATTTGCCCCCGGACAGTTGCCCCCCCCCCGCCTCTTTTGCTGTTGTAACTTGTCACTTGTCATCTCGTGTATAGATTTTTGTATGCCAATGGCAATATTGTAGTACATTTATTTATGGATGCTTTTTTGACTTTCACAAATTTGCGTTTTGAGTTTTTGTGTATTTAAGCACAATAAAATTTCGACAACAGGCGATGCATGTTGGAAGCAAACAATTAAACAATAAAATATTTTAACATTTTTTAAAACAAGGAGGGGGATTTCCGCCCCTTCCAATGATATGAGAGGCAAATGTCCGCCACTGCAAAAAGGGGCCAAACTTCCAAGGGGAAAACTGTCCGAAGGGCAATGTCCGAATACCCAGGAGACCGCGAAAGACTTACATAATTATGTATATTGGTGGCAAGTGTGAGACATATGAACCACAATTATATTTTATATAGCAGATTATAAAATGTTCTAGAATAAAATATGATCGTTCATCATTAATTGTTTATACTTAATCACTTATAACTTTATTAACATTTTAAAATCGTAATATTTATGCTGTGATTACTGCTATATTGTTTCATTGATATGAACTTGAAGCGTCCATTTTGTTATATTGTGAACTTGACAATATAACCACTTAGATTACTATTACTTTGAAAAATGACGCGATTAAATAAATGTTACTTTGATATGCTATCCATTATTTTTTAAGTAAAAAAAAGATTTAATATAGGGATGCTGTAATAATTGCTTAGTGCATTCAATAAACATTAATTTGTTTATTTTGTAAGACAGGAACATTATGACAATCATTTACATTTTATTTCAATTTTTAATTTTTGATTGCATTTCATGTTTTCTTTGTCTGCGCATTTGCAGGTCTATTTTTTCACGTGTATTTCATGACCGGGTATGTCTGACTAGAACAGACCTGTGTACGTGGAAAAGATAGACCTAATAACGGACTTTCTTTTGTTTAAGCAGGTTTATCAGAAAAATATAGACCTTTCACAAACAATAGAGAAGGTGTGTAAACGTTTGATCGGAATTCCAACCATTTGAATAGGGGGATGATTTACATTTTTATTTTTCTTGAAAATATCATGCATTCTGTTTTGGACGGATTAAAAGTAACCAGCCAGATCTTTGACCTTTCATGAATTTTTGAAGGTCGTTTTTTAAATGCTTGGCTGCATCTATGGGATTCTCAATAATTTTATTAAGGCCCGTGTTGTCTGCAAAAAGGCGTATGCTCGAATTTCCATCATCAACAATATTGTTTATACATGTATATATCAAGAAAAGCAAAGGTCCGAGGATTGAGCCCTTGGGTACACCGGCATTAATTTATGACCAGTTAAAAGAACAATTAGCGTATACAACGCGTTGTTTGCGATCATAGAAATAGGAAGTGAACCACTTTAGAAGGGAACCGTTAATTTCTATTGAGGAAAGCTTAGGTAGGAGTCCTCGATGCCATTCTTGGTCGTACGCTTTAGAGATATCGCAAAATTCAAAATTAAGTGCTTCTCCAAGCTTTCGTCAAGAGCCTTGCAAATGTCGTATATGCATGCAATTAAATCTATGTTTGAGTCACCTTTGACAAAACCGAGTTGATAAGCCGTGAGGAGGTTGTCGGTAATAATATAGTTGTACAAGTATTTGTGAATACACCTCTCCATTAGTTTAGCTATGCAACTAAATAGAGAAACGGATCGGTAGTTCGAAAGCTTAGATGGATCATTCTTTTTATTTAGCAGTGACATTGGCTATTTTCCAGGAGGTAGGAAGGTAGATTTTGAAAGTAACAATTTGAAAAAGTTAGCCAAAGATTTAGACAGAATAGACGATCCTTCTCTCACTAATCGGGGATGAATAAGATCTGGGCCAAAGGCTTTCGATGGGTCAATTAACGAGATAGCATCTTTGACTTCATCCTCTGTAATTGTAATATGAGGAGTTGTGTGTTTTGAATGTCAATGTTTGATTGTGTGCAAAAGAAATTATTCAGTGGTTCTACCTTATCGTTGTCAGTATTTGCAGAAATTCTGTTATCAAAGAGGACTGGGGTTGCTGGTTTTGATTGTTTTTATATGAAGGACTGTGTTAGTTTAAACCATTTTTTTCGTTGAAGTATTTGATGGATTTATTTGTTCAATGGATTTATTTTTATATTCATTTTTACTTTTTCTTTTTTTTTTCGTAACCGCATATCTGATTGTTCTAAATTGTTGCCAAGATAACTCTGTATTCATCAGATTTGCTTTTTTGTGTGGGCTTTTTTTGCGTTTTCTTTTAAGTTTACGACGTGGTCATATTGTTACTATTTTGATCGGAATACTGTTGTCTGCAGTATCAAGACAAGACTGTTGAAAATTGTAATCGGGTATAAAT